TCGTCGCGTGACCCTATGATAGATGCTGGCGTTCAGAAACGGAAGTTCTAGAACATGCTGACTCTTCTTCTTGAGTGATGCGGGTTGTTTGTTCAGCATAGCTCAAAATGATTGTTGGGTGCTGTTCTCCCCTCAAGGCCGAATAAAACAACAACCTGGCCACTTGTTGACATTGTTTTGATGTTTTGTGCCGCAGAAAGCCATAGTCGATAATGGACGCAAATCAGCCAAGTGGTGATAAGAAGCAGCTGTGCTGAGCGACCGGCGATCGCTGAGGTTGCGCTGTGTTTCGTGGAATGTGTCGCAGCGCCTCGACAGCAGTTCATCGTGATGTCGTCATCAAAGCCATCGTCAGCAGAGAGCAGCATCCGGCCGTCGTTCGCCGCCACCGCCGCCGCCGACGCCGCTACCAGCTCTCGTTCAGCCCTCCTGTTATCACTTCCTCTCCGATTGTCACGCTCGCTCCGACGTTCCTCCTCCGGCAGCAGCGACGCCGCCGCTGCTGCCGCTGCCGCCACTGTTGCTGTACGCCTGCGATCAGTGATCGTTCATCGTGTGAACCCAGCAAACCACGCCCCGCCTTTGCATCGCTCACAGAGCGATTGGACAAGTTCTGAGTCCTCATCGGTCGGCTGTGCTTCCACACGTTATCGCTGCCCTAGGTCCATTGGAACGACACCGCTCACGATGGTCGTATCAAACATTTTAACGCGTCATACGTTACTTGACTACAAGGACGGGTTACTGTATACGGGTGGAGGTAGGCTGTTTTCATGTTTACTTGTTTTTACCGCCTGGTTATCTTTTCTTCTATCTGCTGGTGTGATTTTGATGATTGTTCCATTGAAAGTAGCTTCTTTGAGTCAGTAGGGTCTCGGTATTCTTGCTAAAATAGGCCGTGCTACGGCTCTTTTGCAAGGATTCCACCGAATTTCTCGATTGAATCTATCTCTTGTTTTTAGTTTTGGTAGGAATTCCCTTTACCCAGCCGAAAACAGGCTTTTGGCATACCAGACGGGGCTGTTGCATAGTCCATTGACTAGCGATTAGATCTACAGGTTGAACTTTATGGTACTCAGTTTGACCTCTTGGCTCGGCGCAGCGGCAGATGTTCTTGTTTTCGAACTTTATTACCTCATGACGCGTTGACTTGAACTTTCTTCGAACCTTGGCATTGTGACTTCAAGCATCATTTTGTTGGAGGCGATACGTACGCGTGATTGAAACGTGAACAGCGAGGGTTAGATTCACGCAGAGATTACGAGATGATCATGTAAAAAGGACGAATCAGGAGAAGCGGCGCAGCTCGAGGCTGGCCCAGTCTATCTCGCAGAGCTTTACATGGAACGTGAAAGGCGAATGGCTAAGAGGCAGATTGAGGAAAGTGTTAAACAAGAAGGGTGATCTGAATATTATCGCTGTCGGCTCATTGGACTTTTTGCAAGCGGCTCAACATAGAGGCTTATGGGTAATTAAACTGCCAAAGGCATCTTCAAGAAGCATGGAGTTTCCCAACGAATAATGTGTAGAGGGTCGACAAGAGGTTCGAATAAAACACTCGCTTGAACACAACCTTGTCAAGTTTTGCCTTAATTGAGTTACTAATTAAATGTTAACGGCCTTTATAAGAAGATGCATCGCAACCTCACCGGTGCTAATTTTTCCGGCCGGATAAATGCGGTCCCTGGGTATGGCTATTTAAGCCTTCCAAATGACGTAAGCAGATGCACCTGTTTAAAGTGGCTGGCGCGACAATTCGTTCAAATTGAAGTCCCTTTTTCATTCCCTGACTGCTCAACACTAGATTGTATTAAGGTGGTCACTGCGCTTAGGTTAAACGTATCTGGTAGTTCCAGTTTACGTATTCGGTTTTTTTTCTCATCTTCAGACATTTTTCTCTTATTCATAGTGCGTAAAGACCTATTGAGAAAAGCAGGGAGGGCTGGGGGGGCGGGAAAACCTTAGGGACCATACACTTTAAGAAAGAGATTCAGGTTGATAGTGCGGCAGCGCCGCTTAGCACATGAACGATCGGAGGACCATCTAGGGTCGAAATCCCTACTCAAGCCCAGCTAAGCCTTCTATTCTTTCTGGATTGGGGATATTGGATCCTACTAGTTCGAATAAACTAATATTGAGGTCAACGACAAGTCACTGATAAACTAATTCATTTCTTGGTTGCTCCTAAATAAGTCGTTCAGAGAACCATTTGAATACCCTCATTAAATGTTATAAGTGAAGTGCTAGTGAGTGAGCAATGGCGTATCCAGAAACGAGGTATTCAATCGCTGTGGACTTTTTATGCCCTTTTTTCCCCAAAAAACGGCGATGCCTTAACCTTTCGCACCTCTCTTTTTTGTAGTATATACTTTAGAGTTTTACTTAGTTTTAGAATTTATGCTCCCTTTCTGCGTCCCACATTTGGTCTTATTAGTAGCCAGTTTATACTTCCAGAAAGAATTTAAGTAAGCTCTTGTCCTGGATGTGAAAGCTTTAATTTTGTATTTGAGGTGGGATAAATTTTGGGCCAACTGGATTGGTATTACGGCCCGGGATGTAATTGGGTCAAAAGTATATGCAATTATGGTCCATTTCATGAAAAGGAGTGATATCTTCAGCAAAAAAAAAGCCAAAAAAACCTTCTGAAAACAACTCATCATTAATCAATCTTTATGCGCCCTTCTCGTTGCTTAGTGAAGATCATCTTGATTTTTTATTTTAATGAAATTCAATGAATGGTGGCTGAGCTATCACACACGACATTTTTATTACAATAAGGTAAACGTCAAAGAAAAAGAATCAAAAGATCAAAGACTCCATTTGTAAATGGAAATAGTTCCCAGCTTTAACCGCTCGTGTGTTCTTGTACCTAAAATCATGTATTGAATGTGGCACTCTCAAAATTTAGCCGAAGCAGTCTGTGAAGTTATGCACATTACCGACAGCGATAGATAATCCAGCTTAGATCTAACTGGAATACCCTTTTAAGGGGTGTCAAGTGACGGAAACCAGGAAGTGAGCTGCTGTACTAATCCCCCTACCAAAAAAAAGAGAAAAAGCAACAACCCAGGAAGGGAATTGATTGAGTTTCTTTCCCTGGCGATAGCCTTCACCAAAGCGAGTATTTGATGACATCAAATGACGCCATCGAACTTCTTCTTCCATTGCTATTTCTATTTTTGCACTGATTTGAAATGGGAAAACTAGGATGCAGTCTTGGTTGGTTTTTCTGAGGCTGGGAAGGAAGTGGGTGGAGGAAGGACTTCATCAACAGTGAAAATACCTAGCAAAATATGGATGGAGCCACAAAGAATGGCTCATGATGATGTTGAATGGACAGCTTGGTGGTAATTTCTAAACTGCGGGCTGAGATAAAAAGCTTTCTTTAGATTTTCGGTCAATGTGACCTATTTTTGACCGAACACTTACCTTACCTTTACCGCGCTGAGAAACCAACCGTGAATCAAGTTTGAGTAATTGCTGTGCTAAGTCGGTTCTTTTTCTGGCAGTGGAATCGCAGATCGTTTTGGGTTTGCTTTCTTACATCAGTTCATGGTCGGCAATGTCACAGCAGCTCAAGGGTTGTACCTAATGCCATCCTATGGGGCTACATAGCCTTTTCTAAAGATTCCTACATTAACAACTCGGTTTAACTTTCTCTTTCTGAAGTTTGCTCATTGCAGAAGGTGAACAAAGAGAAGTCTATGGAGCAGCAATGGTGATTCAACGGGCCTATCGGGAATATCGGGCTCGAAACACCAGTCGTCGACAGGCGGATGCTGAACGGCGGCCGCGGTTACTATCCAGAGTTGTTATAGGAGATATAAACAGGTATGAGCGTTTACATTTTCGTTTTTTTACCCCTTTCATATTTCGTACGTTTTGGGGCCAACTCGGGGATTGGTCCTCCAAACTGCATCTCTATTCTTGACCGTGAAAGTTGTATCATCGACCAGAGTAGAGACGCAAAAATTTGGGCACCTATCCCGAGTTGGGGTTCGCTGCGCACGGCCATTGAATGAGCTCTACTTCGGTAGTTTTTTTTGAGTTTAAAGGAAGTGCTTAAAACTAAATATTGATTTTTCATAATGTTTGTTATAATTTTGATTAGAATATCGTACGTTGAAAAACAAATCGGCCTTAAATTGAACTTTGCAGTTTTGTTACTTCAAGAAATTACACAATGCTGCAATTGTCGTTCAAAAGCATTTCCGATTGAAAAAGGTGAGTAAACTTTCATTTTTATTTTTTTTTCACTTCTGTAATTTGAATGTTTTTGATTACTTACTGTGACACTTTTTATATGATATTCAAGCAGTACACGTTGAAAAAGCTATTTCAGATGAATCAAACAGAACATCCGTCGTGCCCATCAACTGAAGTTCCAGAGCATCCAACTCTGAATGGTCAAAGTATAAGAATACAAGTAAGAGTTTCTTACATTTTTTCAGTTTCTGTCGAATTAGCCTTTTTATCTTTTCAACCCTTTATTTGTGTTTTCTTACCGTTTCTGTGTTTTGCGTCTGCTAGTTAAACGCTAGTTGGGAGCCATAAATAATGTTGCCATTTGGCTACAGCTAGATTTAGCAGTGTGATGAATGGTCCCAACGTTAGGCGGACATTCATGGCCTGCTTATATCAACTAGGGTTTTTGCTCCATGTCCAATGTCGTCAAGGTTTGGGTAAGAATGAGCGGGTGACGCAAGCTATTACAGTAGGTGTGGAAAGGGGTTTCTCATGTGAAATCTTGGGTTCAAGTTTCAAGTTTCTGAGCACTATTCGGGGGCTACTCGCATCTTATTGAACCGACCATCCAGCTGGTCTACCGCGGCCATCGTAAACGCCAAGCAGCTGCACGTAAAATCCAGAAGTTCATGAAGGAAAGCCACATGAAGTGATCTCAGTGGTAATTTTTCTTGGAGCGCATAACCCTGGTCTCCCAAATTATTTATTTATTTACGACTATGCTTACAGAATCAAGCATACAGTCACGCGAAATTAAAGAACAATTTTACAATCTATGGTTATAATAAATGTGGAAATTAAATAGAATATGGTTCAGTGGAAAAGGATTCACAGTAAAAAAAAAGGAAAAGGGAAAAGCATCAAAAAGCATTGATCCAAAGAGGAGTTACTTGACGGGGGAGGGACAATTACGAACGCGGTTGGGCCCATTTTCGTGGAGAGGAAGGGCAATGGTCGCAGGAGGAGGGTGCGGTCCGGGTACCAGCTTAGAAGGTCTGGAAACCTCTCCAGAGGGCACGTAGGGGTAAGGGGGGGTAGTAAGGGACAACTTATTCCTTTTTAATAGTGACCTATTCATTATTATCTCTTACAGAAGGTTTTGAACATAGTTTTTAGGTTGTATTAATGGCTGTTTCACTGTTTCAGGTACCTCAAAATAGTTCATCGTTGTTACGGGAACATCGAGCGGCGACGACCATCCAGCTGGCCTACCGTGGCCATCGTAAACGCCAAGCAGCTGCGCGTAAAATCCAGAAGTTCATGAAGGAAAGCCGTATGAAGTGAGTGAAAGCATTTCTTTCGTTCACTTAATCATCAAGGTCCGTTTCTGAGAAGGCAACTAGTACTTGTGTGGAAAATACATTTTTTTCCTTTTTTTTTTTAAATGTTACACAGTTTGCATTTGCTTTTCGAAGAAGAAGCAAAAATGTGCTTACTGTAAGCAGTTCGCCTTTCACATTCTATTATTGGATTTGTCTTCAATGAACGCCTGAATCACATTATTTCAAAGAGCGTTCTTTGTTTCTAAGAATTGCGGCTAAAAAATTTATGATATCAAAGAATATTAGAGATTTCGATCCAGGAAGCTTTGGAGGGGCTGTTCGTAATTAGTTTGGGATGAGAAAAAGTGGTTGCGTTGCATGATTGTATCCCTTATTAAATAATAACAGGCGGGGCGGGGGTGGTTAGCTAGACACTGATGTTCCCACTGTTTTGTGGGTGAATCACTTGTTATTAAAGTATTGCCAGAGGTTTGTCAAAATGGTGATCATAAGTAGAGGGCACGCCCACGACCAAATTGCTGTTATTCTTGCCCGCATAAGTGAAAGCGGTGGGGGGCGAAGTGGACTGGTAGTGAAAAGAAAAGGAAGAGCTCCATTTGAAACGATTGAAATTGAAGACAGGAGCTTGCCTATCAATGCTGTGCTGCGTGCTGATATTGAGCAGACAGACAAAGGAGGAGGAAACTAGGCGCGATACAGGAAGAGAGGTTAGGCGAAGGGAGACAAGAGGGTGACGAGAGGCGCAACAGGAGGTCTCTAGACGTTGCGCATGAGGATGAGGCAAAAATGAAGCGGTCCTGGAAGACCCTTGCGCCTTTTTGGGCCAGGGGAACACGACATGTGCGACTTCAGTTGGCAGCCCTATCCTACCCTGTAGAGGGATTGATTCACCCGAATCAATCGAGGATGCGTTTAAAAGACCCTAAAGTTTTTCCGTGAAATGATTGCCACAAAAAGAGTGCAGCCGCTTTGTACCCCCATGAGGGACATGCCTATGGTCCAACTGTAAATTTCTAAAGGGTTTGCTACAGATCAATGATGCGTGAGTTATTTTTGGGCAATGTTTTTTCAAACTTGTAGATATTTAGTTTGTTTGTAATATTTGAGTTTTTGTTCTAATTCAGCTACTTGTGGGGTATTGATTCATCATTTACGGTAAGCTACAAGAAAATGTCGTAAAGTGGTCTTGTATACGTGTTTGTGTTGGACCAGTGAATCTTTTGTTCCTTCATATCAATTCATTTACCAATCGATAATCCCTAAAAAGGCTTTTTTCATGATTTTTTGAGTAATAGTTTTGTCTTGTCCACAAGAAAAAAATCGCGACCTTTAGGAGAGGCACTCATGTCGTTAAGGGGGGGGGGGACATTCAAAACAGGGCATTCAAAAACCGCTTACGGGCGAACTAGCTCTAAACTCAGGAGATCGGAGAAAACGCCAGGGTTAATCGAATTGCTCACATCCGCCCCCACGATCCTCATCACCCTTTAAGACTTAGGTCCAAGTACTGTGAATAGCTCACTTGAATGTACCCTTCACTACCCTAAGGGGATGAGCGCCCATTAAAAGTATCCCAGGACATGATTCTGCCTCATTGAATTATCGATTGGCTAGTATTTATTTCATGGAAACTTTTATTTTGCTAAATGTTCTATTAAAGAGGTCTAATACCTTGTGCTGTTTCAGATTACGCAAGATCCAGGAGCTAAGCGACGGCGGTTTGGGTGCGGAACTGACGATAACGCCCCAATCGAATCCGTCAACAGCGGCCACCGTCACAACAACTCCCATGACCTCGGCTCAAATTGGAATTACTTCCCTTAGCAATTCTATGATGGATATGGACGGGTTAGTTTACCATCCTTCTGGTTTATCATCCTTCAGATAGCTGAAAGGCAGCAAATTTTACCGATAAAGATTTTCTAGCTTTTCTCAGAGGTAAAAATATAAATCTTTGATGGGAATTTGGCGCGGAAGCTCTCCGCAAGCATGCCTCAAGTGAAATGCTTGATGTTAATCAGGAAATAGAGATTCAAGCTAGCAGTTTTTCTGCGCAGTTTGTAGGTGTAAAAGGGCAACATTCCAGTTGAATGCATTAGTGGCTTATTACTGTGGAAGATGGAATATGGTACTCATGTATTGATAATCATAATCCACCCCCAGGGAGCACATCGGAGCGTTAGGAAACGCGCTGCCCATTGAACCTATAAAGCTAAGAGAATGTCGCTCTCCGTTTTATCCTCAAAATGATTCTTCAGGGGTAAGGCACGGTTGAAGGTAAGAAGGTAGCACTTTTTGCTTTCTTCCAATAGTGCTGTGTGTGGAGGGGGGGGGGCTAATCACGCTGGCTATTTTCAAGTTCGGACCCAATAACTCTTATCTATTCCACTGCCTAATGTGCCTGTAAGAAAATTCGGCAGCTCCTCAAAAATTCCATTCAAGCGGTGAGAGTGGGGAAAGGAATGGATTCCAAAATTCTTTCAGCAACCTCCCTGAATTTCGTGAACCTTCTCGAAGTGCTCTCTATCTCTGCACGAAATTTCCTCAACTCCAACTAATTCATACTCCCATCTCTTCCGGAAATCCATTTCCGATTGCTTCCAATCTATTCCACTCTCCACCCTTTTCCTCTTCTATAGTTCGAGCTGGAGCGTGAAATGCCTCCTCCCCCATCCCCTCCTCTACGGTGTTCAGGAAGGGGCAAGGTATCTCACTATGTTCCTCACAATTAGAGACCGTTAGTGTTGTCATCCGTTGAAGAAAAATTTATGGAAATCGCCAGTAATCAATATTTTCCATCCCAAACATGCTTACATGAGGTCATTTTTTTGGCTTTCAGGAGTCGATGAGCTGCCTACTCTGGTCGAACCGAAACTACGGTGAATCTCTTTCTCAACGTCCTTGATCAGCCACAATCTGTTATTTTGATCAGTCAGTCAGTCAGTCAGGTGTGATGCTTCAGCGTTTTCGCTTTCTTCTGTGCATCGCTTAGCCTTGATGATGAATAATTACGTCTGCACACGCGGATGTTCATATCAATAGGATTTTGAATTGTGTATTTTTGTAAGTTATTTTTTACCAGTTCCTACGAGGTCAGATGTCAAGTCATGCAAATGTTGTTACGCTACACATATGTACAGAGATATTTTGAATTACAGTTTTATTTAATAAAACTACAATACGTGTATCTGTTGATTTCCTGGAATTTTGTCTAAGGTAAAGCAGCGAAATAATTGCCTAGAAGGATAAAACATAAATCAAAGCGGTGCTAGTGATATCTTTGTCAGACCCATGCAAATGTCTGAATAATCCATGTTCAAGTGGAATGCACGGCGCACGACTGATCGTTTTCACTTCAGTCACCGACCAGTGAGCGCTCCCTACCGTACTGTAAGGAATATCGATACTGATACCGTATTAGTTTGCTACCGTAGTTGAACGCTCTATAAATAACCGAGTTGCAACGGCAAAACTTTTGTTTTCGGACCTGCTAAAGACGAGGACAAGTGGTGAACTGATTCAACAAATATTATTACTTTCCAGGATTATGCAAGCAGGGTCAACCCTATGTTGCTACAAGTAGCAACGGGGGGTCGTTCTTGGATGGACCCGGAGGGTGGGGTCGTACTCTCTCGGTGGCCGGCAGTAGGATTTGTGGTAATCTCCCTACTGATCATACTCTCGGTGGCCGGCAGTAGGGATTTGTGGTAATCTCCCTACTGATCATAACCATGTTTTCAGGAAGAGCATGAGAAAGGAAGACTTGCAGAAACAGCAGCTGCAAGACATGTAGCATCGTTCAAAGAAGTACCCCCACCATGACATGGGTCCACCCACGAAACCACATTTGAAACTAAAGTGTAGCTGGAGTATTGCCTAAGACAACATAGACAATAGTAAGATAATTGATGCTAGAGCATCTGTAAGCCGCTTCCTTCTAGATGAGCTTTCAAATGAGTCAGCGAATCAGGAGTGCGACCGAGGCGTGGCGCACACCAAGGCAGGGGGAAATCAGTGCAAGCGCATGCACAAAGCATTCTAACACATCCTATGGTCAGCACGATATCTTTTCCCTGGACGTTGCGGCCAGTGAAACCCAAAAAAAAACCGCTTTCTTAAGAGAATGGCTCGGAGAATGCCCCTCAAAAGAATGTAGCAACGGAACTAATTTCTGAATTACTCACTTTTAAGAATCGTTTAGGTACTACTTGAGAAGCTTGAATCCTGTAGTTTCTCAAACCCGGTTCAGCTTCCCCAAATGAATGAGTTTGAAGGAAGTTATGGTCGTTTGAAGGTTGAAAAGTCGCGGTTTCAGAAAAATAGTTCCGCGAACCCCCCTAAAATGTAGCAACGGGACTAATTTTTGAATTACTCACTTTTCAAGAACGTTCGGGTACTTTTTAGAAAGCTTGAATCCTGTAGTTTCTCATACCGGGTTCAGCTTCCCAAATAAATGAGTTTGAAGGAAGTTATGGTCGTTTAAAGGTTGAAAAGTCGCGTTTGCACAGAAAAAAGTTCCAACGTGCTAAATTTTTACTAAATTAGCTTTCGATGAATTTTCAGATATGATTGGAGAGAGAATGATTGAATTTTTTAATCAAATAACTCCGACACAAAAGATCGAATATGAAGAAAGTTATAGCCCGAAAAAGAGGAAGGTGAAAATTGTAGTGCAAACTCATTTCCTGCTCAATAACTTAATTATTTCAGATTGTTTAAGAACAAATCCGCTCCACTTGAGAAGGATGACCCTTGCTGATCCGAAATCCACCTCCGTCTTGCGAGAAAACCTGAAATTTTCCAAGCAGGAAAGTTCCTATACTTCTCGATTTCCCATTTCGACACCTGCTCCCATTCAACAAACGCGCCCCATTGCAGCACTCCAGCGCGCGATTCAATACATTCGAAACCTGTCAACACGCGTTTCCACTACCTTCTCGGCATTCTCAATCATTTCCCCCACTTCTCCATAATATGACGCCACAACCCACCCGTTTTCTCCAGCGGAGAATGCTTAATGACGTACTCTGAATCTCCTATGAAAACTCACCAGTAGGATTTTGGGCACAATGTGGCTGGGGGAGGGGACACTCTGTAGAAACGTCTCTGGGACTAAGCCTGCGCATTTTGTTTAGTCCTGATCTCGTGAAGGATGTACTTCACTTTGATTAGTCCTGATCTCGTGAAGTTTGAAATGTTCTATTATTTTATACTTTTCCAGGGTGAAAAGAAACCTTATGATAGAGATAAAAGGAATAAAAAATTGGTATGAATTGTGTCTTCATAAAAATTAGACACAGGGGGGTCGTACCAAATCGCCCATGGAGGAGGGGGTCGTAAAAAAATCCAAAATGTAGCAACGATAGGACCGACCTGCTCCCAGACCGGGTGTGCGTCAAATGGCGCGATCCCATTGGCATTGGAGCGCACAGGCCGCATTTGGCACATCCTGTTGTAGCGGGACAACTCGTCCGCATCACTAAACTATTAGACTTCAGTAATTGATCGACCTGGTGATTTGGGTCCCCGATACCTTGTTGAGTCACAAATATACAAAAAGAGCGAACAGCTTCAGCTGGCCTAATGCCAAGGCCAGAGGAACGGAATAAAATGTACTGCGCGTCTATACTCGTCCGCGCAATACATTTTATTCCGTTCCTCTAGCCTTGGCATTCGGCCAGCTGAAGCTATCCGCCCTTTTTGTATATTTGTGACTCAACGAGGTATTGGAGACCCAAATTATCAGGTCGATCAATTACTGAAGCCTAATATAATAGTTGAGTGATTCGGACGAGTTGTCCTGCCACAGTAGGATGGGGCAATTGCGGTATGTGCGCTCTAATGCTAATGTGATCGCGCCATATGACCGCCTCCCCTCCCAGACCTATTCGTACTAATATTCCAAGGCAGTTTCAGTATTTTCACGTGGTTCAAATACCTATTTGCTTCCTTTATTTGCAGCTTGCTCAATTTGCAATGCAAGCAAAAAAAACTGCAAAAGCATGAATTTGAAAGCTTCAATCACCCGAAACTTGAAAAGGCTCATGCGCTCAAAAAAGCGGAGCAAAGAGGGGATTCCTTTTCATGTGGATACATGCTATTGGGATGGTTTGATCACGCGAAGGTCATTCTGCTAATAAAAACCCATAGCTTTTATGCATAAATTTCAATGTGCATTTCGTTATTTCCTTATGTGCATTTTTTTACACTTTTCCACTGAAAATTTGTCACTAATTTTTGCTGCCAGATTATGTGTGATGTTGATACAAAAGAAAATGGGCGCTCATCCGGTAAGGGGGGAGGGCATTGTGATGTGTGTCAATGTCAAGCGGCTGCCCTCACCCCCACCCCACTAGACTGCCTTCACTCCCCTTGGCTCACGGGGTCCCGCACTTCGAGAAACCTGTCCGCCAGGGGGAGCGTAGGCAGACCAGAGGGGTGGGAGGCAGGGTTGGTCCTCGTTGGTACATTTTGCAAAATTTTTTCAAAAAACCCCCTCTCCTTCACAACAGGTTTCATACGACCCCCTCTTCACAAAAACTTTTTCCCTCAAAAAACACCGTCGAGCGGGAAGGGAGTGGGGTATATAACTATCATGAAACCGCAAAATTTCCCCATATTTCCCTTCATTTTCCCTCTTTTTCACCTATATTTTCACTGCTCCCTTTTCTAGGGGGGGGGGCACAAACTTAAGCAAACTATGACCCCCCGTTGGTACTACTGTAGCAACGTAGGGTTGACCCTGGTGGGGAGTGAGAGCAGCCACTTGATACCCCCCTCAGTGGATGAGCGCCAGAAAATGTTCTGTTTCATAATAAGTAATGCATCTCGTTCAAATTCACCAGGGTGTTAGCCAGGGTAGAAAATCAAGTGAGGGTATCCACAGGCAAGCCTCCGAAGGTGCAGGCTGAGGTCCTAGTTTGCTAAGTTATGTGCCCGCCCCCCCCCAGAAATTCAGGGAGCAGTGAAAATATAGATGTGAAAAAGAGGAAAATGAAGGGAATAGGGGGTTGGGTAAAGTGATATTATGCGAAAGCTGGCTGCAAATCTATTACTACAGCACAGACCCGGGATTGGAAAGGGCTCTTATGAGAATATGGTTGTATATTCACCCCCATGATGGCACGCGTGTCGTTCACGGGCCAGCTCACTGAAGACTGCCGATCAAGTAATTATGTTGATCAGAGTGAATATAGCGCCCGCCACATAGCCCTCACGCACGCCTATGCGATGCGGGTGTTCTTGATGAGCATGGGGACGTGAACGATCAAGTCTCTTTATCCGTCGCTCTAACACTTTCTGTAACCTAGATTTTTCCGGGGGTCGTTATGAAATGCCCGAAAATGTGTTTGTTCGCTATTTTACTGTTGTGTTGATGTAGGTACTTGGGTGTATCTTCTTGTTTCTGTAATCATCAAAATACAAGTTTGGCAGATTAGAGATAGGTAAATTACTAAGTATCAGGATGGACCCAGCCCTGCCTCCCACCCCTCCTGGTCTGCCTACGCTCCCTGGCGGACAGCGGTAATGCTGGCATTTGAAGTCGATGGTGGCAACTGCCATCGCCAGGTCCGAAATGGCTGAATTTGTCGACTCGTTGAGAGTCGTTCTTGTGGTTTCTTCCTCGAGTCGTACTCGTTTCTACGTTATCAAAATGTCCTGCACCTGCCTAATGTGCCACTTTTAGATCGCCAGTCATGGAAGGGAAGAGACCTCCAGTATGACGGGGTATGTCTGGCAGCAGGTTAAGCAAGCATTTTGTTAACATTTTATGGTATATTCTTACTGCTACCTTTTGCAAATGTTCAACAAAAATGTGGACGACCGACTCGTGGTTATTCACATAGAC